ATTCAACAAAAAACTCTTCCTTCAAATCATCCTCATTTGGCTGGTTCATACAATAACATCGGTAATATGTACAACAAGATGGGAGAGCATACCAAAGCACTTTCATTTCTCGAACAAGGACTTGAAATCTTTAAAAAATCTCTGCCTTCAAATCATCCTTTATTGGCCACTTCATACAACAACATTGCCCGTGTGTTTGACAGCATGACAGAATACTCGAAAGCACTGTCATTTCATGATAAAGCACTTGAAATCTTTAAAAAAACTCTGACTTCAAATCATCCTGATTTGGCTACTTCATACAACAACATCGGTTTGGTTTATGACAGGATGAGAGAATATTCGAAAGCACTTTCATTTTACGAAAAAGCATTTATGATTCGACAAAAAACTCTTCCTTCAAATCATCCTAATTTGGCTGCTTCTTACAACAATATCGGTAATGTCTATGATAGCATGGGACAGTACTCGAAAGCACTTCCATCTCACGAAAAAGCACTTGAAATTCGACAAAAAACTCTTCCTTCAGATCATCCTGATTTGGCTGCTTCATACAACAACATCGGTTGTGTGTATGATAGCATAGGAGAGTATTCGAAAGCGCTTTCATACCACGAAAAAGCACTCAATGTTCGACAAAACAGTTTTCCTTCTAATCATCCTGATTTGGCTAATTCATACAACAACATCGCTTTCGTGTATGTCAAGATGGGAGAATACGAGAAAGCACTTTCATATTTAGAACGTGCTCTGGACATCAGGCAACGTGCATTACCTCTAACTCATCCTGATATAAAGACTACGAAAGAGAGTATTGAAATTGTAAAAGAAGAGATTATAAAAAATAAGTGATGAATAAATAGAAGACGATTTTGCTCATTTGTTTTTGAATTAATTCTTTTTTTAGTGGGAAGCGCGCGTGTATAGAGAACAACTCTGCAAGTAATAAAAACGTAGCGGACAAAGCCGATTGATAAGGTTATATATATACATGTGTATGTATTAAATGACCGTCTCAGATATATTCTCATTCCTAATTCTTTACGAGAATATTCCCTGTAATAAGAGAAGAATAACTTATATGGAACTGATTTGTAATAGTGTTGAACGAAGTCCCGTATACTGAAGAAAAAGTGAGAAAGCTGCGATACATATATAGATATGTTGTGAACGCATGATCTACTTTCTTTTATTACAGGGAACACACTCGTAAAGAATTAGTATAGTGATATAAGTAAATATTCACCGAATGATTTGTGCAATAAAACGAGCGTGAGGCGCTCAAATTTTGAAGATTTGTGTAAAACTATAAGTATAATGTCAAGACCTGTCTGCAACTCTCAAGAATAAATTGAAATCAAGATGAAATTAGTCTTGTTCATCTACAGTTAATCGATACCAATTGAATTAGTTGACTGAACTGTAGTTTCAACGATTATTCAGGCTCTGATAAATTTTATACAGTCAGTAGAGTTCCTAGAATTAACTACCTTCTTTTATGATCTAAATGGATAAGATAAACTCATATATAATACACTATTTCAACTTTTATTCGATTTAACATAAACAATGAAATATAAAAGTAATTACTAATATATTTATTATAATTAATAAACTTTATCTTCTGTCTCTAGCAATAGAATGAAGTGGGAACACATCTAAACGACATAATTTTTACATTTTTTTAAAATAATCAATATCAATCATAAGGAATGACGACATTACAATAAAATTTATTTTATTCCATTTTTACATATAAAATCACATGTTTAAATGAAAAACATATTTTTTCTTGAAAGATCGAGCTAAACTACATGCTAAAAAAATGAACATGACAAAACTTAATCGTGGGTTCATAGTTAATATCTTCAAACTATTTCATATAGATAATATTTGATCTTGATATAAAACACGCTTTACGATACAAGATGAATATTTCTTATTAAACAATAATTGAAATCAACTTCTGGCTTCTTTATACAGAAAAAAAGATTATTTTGTTTGTAAAATAAATCATTTCATTTTCAGACTCTTTGAGAGAAAACTGTGTGCGAACGTTTTTCTCTTGTATAATATAACTGTAAAAATAATATTATGCTAAAAATAAATAGTTATGAATTATTGATAAATAAATATGTTTTTTAATCAATTCAATAGAAATAATAATCCAATATGCAAATCAACGAATGCTTAATTCTAAGACTCGATCAGCCACCATGTATGCAAGCAATTCATGAAATAAATAAAGATACTACTAACTCAATCGTTTAACTTCATTAGAGCCTTCAATAAGTAAATGAAGTCTATCTAAAGTCCTTCATCAAATATTTTATAGTTTTCAATCTGTCAGTTTGGGTATGAAGAACACAAACATACTGGATATGATAGTTTCAGTGGATTTCATATTATTCATCTAATGTAAGCACATTGCAAAGCGTGTCACAGAGGATATAAAACGTTCTATGAAATGATATATATATATATGTTAAGTATAAAAAGAAGTACAGTTACAAGAGCTCGTCTGGATACTCACATTTCTTTAAAAAAATATTCTCGTCTATACATATGATAAAAAGCAGAATAATAAATTATTTTTATGTTTATTTCAAGCAATGCTTGTATTTACCACAGCTGTGACTATTCTTTTATTAAAGTACAACATATGTTTGAGAAAAATAGTCATTTTGTTTACTGCAATGTATGTTTACATTTGAATCTTAATTAAGAAAACTTCTAGGCCTATCATGAAATCTATATGTAAGAAATGACATCAAGAAAGGGAGTTATTCATTTAAACTAATACCCCTATGTAGATAGTCTCAATAACAGAGCAAAAGCATTTATCTCTTAATTATAAAAGTAGATCTAAAATTTAGAGCAATAGGATTTCTATTGATTAAATATAATTAGATCTTAAATAATACTCGAATTTAAAATAAGACTAACCACTATTTTGTATATTCAAAATATCAATCATTTATTCTTTCATTTTAAAACCCAAAAATCATAAACATTTATAATTCCACTTCGCTTCTACTTGTAATGTCGAGCAACCATCAATACGAGTATGAAGTGCATGAAAATATTGATCATAAAAAATACCGTGTATATACCAGGGTCTCATCTCTTATATAAATATTCTCTACAATGAAAGCTAGAATTTTTAGTCAATTCGAAATTTATATAACTCCTTTGACTTGTCTTATTTCCAGCTGTGATTCATATTAATTTTGATTTCTTTTTCTTTAAAATTAAATAATTCATTTAAATCTTAACTTGATTACCCTTAAGATATACTCTGAGGAGTATAGTATAAAGAATATGACACAAAAAAAGCACTGTTCATGTTTGTCCATAAGACTGATTACCTTGATCAAACTCATTTAAAAGACATACAAAGAAGAATACATAATTCTAAAAGCATTTTATTAAGTGTACCTTTTAAACTATAGAAATGTATCAGTTGTAGAATTTTTTCTTTCAATATTAGAGTAAGTATCTTATTTTTTAAAGATCAATTCTCTTTCTAAGATTATATAAAGAACCTGATATAAGTACAGCAATCATATTTCACTTAATAAACTAATGATGATAATTACAACGAATAACTTTTGATGTTCAATATTATTTTCAAAAAATATATTTAAAATTCAGTATTCTTAGTACAAGCGAAATGAGTGATAACTAATTCGTAGTATCAATGCTTGATACATAACGAAATGAGAAAGATATTATCAATAAGGTTACAAAAATTATATGATCAGATAAAACTTAACAAAATTGAACTTGATCGAATATAATGATTCATGCAGTTATAAAGTCAATTGAAATGAATAATATTAGACAATATTGTTATAATTTTATGGTTCATTTATCAGATCTTCCTTGACAGATCCTTGACACTAACGTTACTATATTCAAACATAACCTCAATATATTCACAAATGTCAGGTACTAAGGCAGTCAAGTGTGAACACATCTTCATAAAATAGGTATTTACATACTAAAAATTGATTTGATACGGTTGTCATTGAATACTTGTACCATTACGAACCCATTTATTCGTATAAAACATTTCGATACATATATATGAATCACTACAAGGCCGTTAGTCATCATTCACCATAGAATGGATAGGTATTTTCATGTAATTTGTATTTAGAAAAGTCAAATAGATTAATGTGACTGCAATTATTGAAAAATGTAAACCATATTACTGCCGACATTTTATTCCTCTAGCGTACGCCTTGTGTTTCCTGTTCTGTTATTTTATATGGATTTTAAAAATATTATTATGTTATAATGAATAACAGAGAGGAATTTTTCCGTTAGCTCAAACAATTTTTATCGATTAATGTATAACAAAAATGATTGTAAATATGAATAATTATTTGTAAAACTAAAATGGTTCTTTACAATACTACAGGTAACAATTTAAACTCATTTCTTCAAAATACTTCATGAATAATCATCTTCCATTGACTACAGTAACGACAACAACAACAACATCTGACTAAACGGACCAGAATATTTTATTCTTTTTAGTGACATTCTTCTTTTTCTTTCTTTACAAACATAACATAGGCCGCCGTTTTTTACATTATTTTTGTCATAAAAAAAAGTATAAAAAAAACGAGTAAAAGAACCGACGAAGACGATGAAGGTTATTTGGCAACTTTCGATGGCATATGGAGAACGAACAAGCAACTGGTGATGATGAAGGCGTAGCGTTCACACGAATCGTCTTATAATAATAAACAAATACTTACCTGTATATGACATTTCTTTGTGATTATTAATTTATTCGTCATACAGATAAATTTACTAACTGGTGGTGGGCACGGTTAACTGATTCATTATTTTTTCTACCTTATAACTTTCCATCATAAGAATAATTTGCATAAGAAATGATGGAACAATATGCACGAGCAGCCCATATTCAAACACAATATCCACATGTAGATTTACCGAGAAACCGTGCACAGCAGAGAAATACATGTTGTCAAAGAATTTTATCTATTATTAAAAATGAAGTTACATGGGGAATATTTGTTATTCTTTGTTGTGCCATTTCACTTATTATTATATGGGCTGTTAATAGTCCTGTTCAATGGCAAATATATAAAGATCCTGTTCATGAACAAGGTCTTATGGCTATTATTGGTGGTATTTTTGCTATTGTTGCATCATGTATGTCTCTTGTTCAAATAATTCAACATTTTGCTCATAAAACACATCATCCATCTCAAAAACGAATTATGAGAATTATCGGTATGGTTCCTATATATGCAATGACATCATGGTTATCTCTTTTATTTTTTGAATCCGCTATTTATATGGAATTCGTGCAGTCATGTTATGAAGCTTATGTTATTTATTGTTTTCTTTTATTATTAACAAAATATCTCGGTGGTCATCGTGGTGTTGAAGAAGTTATTTTAATTCAAGAGCGAATTAAACTTCCTCTTCCACTTTGTTGTGTTAATGTAACGCCAAGTAATAAATGGGTTTGGTATTTTAAAATTGGTTTATTACAATATTCATGGATTACTCCGATATGTGCTGGAATTGCTGTTGTTCTTAATTTAGCCGGTGTTTATGGAAATGGAGAATGGACATTTAGTCGAGGTTATCCATATATAACTATCATTATTAATATTAGTCAAACATTAGCATTGTATAGTTTAGTAGCATTTTATACAAATACAAAAGAAGAATTAAAACCATTTAAACCATTACCAAAATTTATTGTTATTAAATTAATTGTATTTTTTATTTTTTGGCAATCGGTTTTAATGAGTGGTTTAGCAGCAATACATATTTTACGAAATACATCATGTGATCCAACAACAAATAATTATTGTAATGGATCAACAACAGGATTTACAGTTGAACAAGAAAAAATCTTATTATCAAATATATTAATTTGTGTAGAAATGTTCTTCTTTGCTATTGCTCATCATTGGATATTCAGTTGGAAACCATATGCTAATGGTACGTTTAAAATGTTAATGGAATCTCGTTATCGCTTTATGAACAGTAAAGACGATCCCGAAGCACATGCTGTTGTCACAACAACTTTTTAATTAATTTTCTTTTTCTTTTATTTAAATACAAATGTATTTTACTAACAGAAATTCTCATTATAGATATGAAATGTAAACGCTATTTATGTTTGAAATTATTTTCTATAATTAATTTATTTATAAAAAAATATATATATATAAACGCGTAAAAATTTAATTATGTTATATATTATAGAGTTAATAGAATGTCTTTCAATATCTGGTAGTTCTTTTATGTGTAATCAAATGGATTAATCTAGTTTTCCTTTCTGGTCGAAGATTTATTCGAAGAGTGAACTTTCAAGTGCTTGCATCCGATTTATCAAAGTTGAGCTAGGTGTATAGCTGGTATATGCTCAGATAATTTTAAAAAATCTATCGCTTGTGTTCTTGTAGATATCGATCTGATATTAATAATACTACCTTTTTTTTTTCCTACGTGATATTTGTTTTTGACATGTCGCGATAGGATTCATCCTGTGATAAACCATCATCAACAGGTTTTGTACATCGTTTTTTTGAATTAATGTATACATAACAAAACACAGGGAAATAAAAAAATCATATACTTTGACAGATGACAAGTTCCGACGATGTTTATAGAGAATATCAGTTATTTTCGAAATCATATGAACTTTTTTTAAAGAAATTTATTTGAACGTTGAAAAATACTTGTATAGAAAACATCTTTGTCAGATACTATAATCGATTTATAATGTTTGTGAAAAGACTACTACGACATCTCATGTCAGGTAATACTGAAAAATATGAATTGGTTTGCTTTATCTTCATTGTAATTGCACAACGAGTCTGTCACCGAGGAGGCAAAACATTCATTTTTAAATAATTCGTATTAAATGATATGTAGTTACTTTACTATCCGTAAAACACTAGAATATATTCTCAGTATGATTATATAGATCTTCATTTATATCAAAGATCTTATCTACGCTTAAGAAGAATCTATTGAATACTCAATCATTGAAAGCAATTTTAATTGGTTCTCGACCTGTTTGTGATTTTTTTACCTAACTTTCGAGAGAATATAAACAATAATAATGCTGATTGGGACATTATTGCTACTTCAAATTATCTATTAAAATGGTTAGATGAAAAAGAAAAAGTTATTGATACAATTCATATGATTATACCAATATCGAATAATGATAAACAACTAGATATATATGTATATTGTACATTACATAATAACGCTAAATATGATTTTACTGTCCCACAACCATCAGAATCCTATACAGCATATATATTAGAAAATTATATAGATAAGAATAACAGTGGCTATGAGTTCAGAAAGAAGGACTTTTCACTTCGAAATGCATCTGCTAATTTATTATTGATATTAAAAAAATATATGCTCTATTATTCACATCAATGGGAAAAAACAGCAAAAGATTATTATCAACTCTTAGCAGTAGCTACACCTCTTACTGATCAAGATAAAATTTTGTGTGATCTATTTATTCGATATAATGAAAAAATACATAGACCACGATAGCAGATTATGTAATTGACAATTGGATTGATATTCATGAAGAAAAATTTAAACAAAAATTCCAATTAATACGTCTTTGTATAGAATTTCAGATTGATAATTACCGTTTATTTTCAGACATACTTGAAATTCCTATGAAACAAATTTTGCATTTGATTACTGATACTGTTGATTTTGATTCAATGCAATTTTACGAGAAGAATATTTTTGGCGAGATCTATATATTTCTTGTTATGGAGCTTATTCTGGCGAGGAAACTAATACTGAAAGCTGAAAAATGTTATATTTTATAAGATTACAAAGCAAATATACCAGTGATACCAATCAATTGGAGCAATGTGTTCGTGCTACAATAAAATTACGACAGTATACATCTACTGATATTGTGCAATTATGGGAAGATTTAACATATGAAAATTAAACGGTTCAATCAAGTCTTTTATCAAAAATTAATCATGTACTATCAAATGGAGAAAACATTCGATTCTTATGCTGTTCGATTGATTATAAATGGATTAGAACATGAACATTCGCGATTAGATGTATCTTTAACCGTACTATTGTTGAAATTTTTTGGTCCAACGTTATTTGGCTTTTATTTAGGACAATGGGGTTATGTACGTCAA